AATAAATATATATATATATATATATATATATATATATATTTTATACATATGTATAAAATTGCTTCGTTTCAACATGGACTCTCCAATATTGCCGTAGCATTATCGTCCAACGTAACCGCGCGCTTTGCATCTCGATGACGTATTTATACGGGCGTTCATACATTCGCGGTTCTCAAACCGAATGCAGAATAAAAACATGCATTATTGGTATTCAAATGGAGGATTATCGTGCCGTAGGGACGTAGAGCATGAGGTACTACGTACCTCGTAATATTGTTTGTACGTCGTTTTGTCCGTGTGTGACTGGTGGCATGTACATATTCACCATTTACTTTTTCTTTATTTATTCCCGGTTCCATTCGACCCGCCGTTTACATTTCAACTGTCCCTCCACCGTATTTGTTTCGCGTCCATTATGTTCCCCTTCTTGCGTTAATTTTTCATCGATCCCGCGACGCTTTGATTTCTCGGGCTCCCTTCATATTAATATTCTTATTTTCCCCTCGAAGACCGAACACCGACTGACTGGACGATCCATCGACAAAAGTCAATCGCCGCACGTTAACGTTACTTTAACCCGCTCGTTTACGTTTCCGTTAATCTCGAAAAACAGACACGCTTTATTTTTCAGACGGTATCTATTTTGGGAAACCTGTTTCTCCACTCGTTTAATTTCACGTTTATTTTCCAGGGATTGTTTTATTGAACCCCGTTTAATGTTTCGTTCGATCCCCGTTCACGTATGATTGCGACCACCCATTATGTGTACATGGCAGTGTGACTGAGAGCGTGCAAGACCGTCTGGGCTTGAAGGGCACGCGTTAATTGTACGTTGCGTTCCAGTTCCGGGAGATCCTCAAGACGTGAAAGTATCGCCGTTGAATTCGACCGCGATACACGTCGAATGGAAACCGCCGAAATCGAAAGAGCAGAACGGAGTGATACGCGGTTATCATATACACGTGCAGGAAGTGAGGGAAGAGGTCAGTCGAATCGAGACACGATTCCGTTTCAGTCGGCTCGTGAGAACCGGCCGCATCGTGATTTAATCGCGTTTCCATCTTCGCAGGGGAAGGATCTCCTGAACGAACCGATACGGCGCGACGTGCACGACGACGGCGTGCTCGAAGTAAATATTACCGGTTTGCAACCGGACACGAGGTACTCGGTCCAAGTGGCGGCGCTGACGAGAAAAGGGGACGGCGACCGTTCGACACCGGTTCACGTCCGAACACCCGGGGGTGTGCCTAACAGGCCTCACGTCAACGTAAAGTACGTAACCCACGCCGAACCACTTATGCTCACGATTCATAATTACATCGTCTTAATAACGCAATAATCGGACGCAACCCTTTTAAATGCATTGCAGTGCAGCTAGAGGCTGTTCTTAAATCCGACCCAAAAACCGAGACTAGAATTAAAAGTAAAATAATGTAGGCGAGAAAAATGTAACAGAGAAACAGTTATGAACATACACAGCTACCACACCTGTATTGTAATTGTAAATGGTATATTACACTATGCACGATTAAATAAATGGAAGTAACTATACGAACAGTAACACTGAAGACGGCACAGTGCGAGGGCAAGATATGAAGTAGACCATTAGCTTTGAGAAAGACCTTACGATAACGACTAGGAGTAGCGTTCTAGAATAATTTAGACTAACTTAGACTAATTTAGAATTGAATCACGAGGCGTCGTTTGTTCGTTCGCTACATCAGACATCTGTTTTCCCAGAGTATTGTCCAGAGATCCAGTCACGCTCGAGCTGGATTGGGCGCAACCCACGGAAACCTACGGCAGTTTATTAGGGTATAGGATAAGGTACGGAATTAAGAATCAAACGCTCAAAGAGGAATACATCGAAGGAACTCGCCAAAGCACCTACAAGATCACGAATCTGGGTAAGTCCGTCTAAATATTCCTCTTTCGTCTTCGTTCCGATCCTTACGAACCGTGACCGTGTCGCCGGCGCGAGGCTTGTACGTTAAACCCGTCGCGTTTCAATCGCAGAGGAACGAGGAGTGGACTACGAGTTCCGACTCGCCGGGCAGAACGAGATTGGCTACGGGCAGGAGACTGTTCGGTATTGGTTCAGTCCCGAAGGAGAACCCACCGGGCCGCCGACGAATCTGTCCTACTTCTTTCAAACCCCGGACACTGTGTGCGTCACGTGGGACATGCCGATCCGCCAGCACAGGAACGGCCGGATAATCGGTTACGACGTGCAGTTCAACAAGAAGAACGACCACTCGACGACCATCGACAGGAACATCACCAAGACCAGAGCGGTTTTCACGAATCTGGAGGAGAACACGGAGTACGTGTTCCACGTCAGGGCGCACACGTCCAGAGGTAGTGGCCCGTATTCCGAGAAGATCACGATAATCACCGAGAAAGACATCGGCCGCGCGCCGATGTCCGTAAAGGCGGTGGCCACGTCGGAGACGAGCGTGGAGGTCTGGTGGGAACCGGTGCCTAACCGCGGGAAGATCCTCGGTTATGAAATTTTCTACACAACGACGGCTGTGGAGGACCTGGACGAATGGAAGAACAAGAGCGTTGGACTCACGGAATCGACGGACCTGGTGAACCTAGAGAAGTTCACGCAATACGCGATCACGGTGGCAGCTAGATACAAAACCGGAGGTCTAGGTCGACTCAGCGAGAAGGTGACGGTCAAAGTGAAGCCTGAAGACGTGCCGTTGAACCTGAGAGCAGCTGACTCGTCCACTCATTCCATGACGCTCTCCTGGACGCCGCCCATCAAGCTGAACCCCATGAAGTATAAGGTTTCGTTCGACGCTATCAAGGAGTTCGTCGATTCGCAGGGCATCACGCAGACCCAGGTTGTCCCTCGCCGAGAGATTCGGTTGGAACCTTCGGTGACAACTACCACGATCAACGAATTGCAACCTTTCACCACGTACAATGTGAATGTCAGCGCGATTCCGCGTGACGGACAGTACAGGCCGCCTACTAAAATCACCGTGACCACGCAGATGGCTGCGCCCAAGCCTATGGTGAAGCCGGATTTCTATGGAGTGGTGAACGGGGAAGAGATTCAGGTGATCCTGCCGCAAGCCTCCGAGGAGTATGGACCGATCTCGCATTATTATTTGATCGTCGTGCCCGAAGACAAGTCGACGGCTGACAAGCAACCGGATGAGCTGACGGAGGACATGATCACAGATAAGGGCGCTAAGGAGGAGAGAGAGAATGCTCCGTATATCGCAGCTAAATTCCCGCATAGAGATATACCGTACACGTTCCTATTGGGTAGCGGAGATGTATACAAGGGCTACGAGAACCGGAAGTTGGAGAAGACCAAGCGGTACCGAATTTTCGTGCGTGCTGTCGTCGATACGCCGCGGAAGGTAAGTCTCCGGTGAACTTAAATTCTTAAGTACTGTACGGGATTTCGTCGTTAAAACTCGTTGCAGTCGGATATGAATTTTAGCTGTGACGAAAGGGAAATAGGAACAAATTAAAGCTTAGAAAAGATGGAAAAATGAGAAATAGGATTGCAACTCACGATGATAATTTCACTTGCAGCATCTGTACACTTCGTCGCCTTTCTCGGAGTATCTGTCGCTCGATATGAGGGAAGTTCCTCCCGGAGAGCCACCCCGACGACCAAACCCCAACACTCCGGTGGACGGAAATCCGGAGGTTTCGGTGAAAACGAGCGGCCAGGAGTCCGGTATGGTGTGGATAGTTGGACCAACGATAGCGGTGTTGATGGTCAGCGTGTTCCTCATTCTCCTGTTTGTTATTAAGAAGTAAGTAAGATTAACGTTTCATCGGTAACAAGGAAAAAGAAAGTTCAATGAGCGAATACACTGGAGCGGATAGAAGATACGCTCTTGAAGTTACATTTCGTTCGAGATCGGTAGCTCGATTGTTTTACGAGACACGTTTCGGGGTTACTGTCGAAAAGTGTGCGGATATGAGTGATCGACCTAGATATTTTTCGCGGATATGCGTGGCTCTGGACGGAGATAGTAAAAAGTAGATGACTCAGCAGCTGTCACTGACCAGTGTACAGTTGTCAGCGCTGAACAGGCCAGTGAAGGAAACGTGCGAGCCGGAGCGATATAGATATAGTTGAGCGTTAAAAACTGTGATTCGCTTGAAACGATGGTATCTCGGTGAATCGATCTCTCGACCCAGTATCGCAGAAAAAAAAAATATATATATATATTTCTATAGTTCATCGAAGATACCATCAAACTTCAAGTAAAACCGATGCATCATTGATTTTCTCGTTGCAGGCGAAGGCAGCCGTGCAAAGCACCCGATCAAGCGGCAGTGACGAGACCGTTAATGGCCGCGGACATCAGCTCGAACCACGCGCCGTCCGACCCGGTCGAGATGCGACGTTTGATCTTCAAGACGCCCGCGATGATCTCGCACCCGCCGATCGACATCAGCGACCTGGGCAATCACATCGAGTCACTAAAAGCGAACGACAATCTGAAGTTCAGCCAGGAATACGAATCGATAGAGCCCGGCCAACAGTTCACATGGGACCACTCGAACATGGAGGTGAACGTATCGAAGAATCGTTACGCGAACGTGATCGCCTACGACCACTCCAGAGTGATACTTCAAACGATCGACGGAATGTCGGGCACGGACTACATAAACGCGAACTACTGCGACGGTTACAGGAAACAGAACGCCTACGTAGCGACACAGGGCCCGCTCCAGGAGACTTTCGGCGATTTCTGGCGAATGTGCTGGGAACTAAGGTCCTGCACGATCGTGATGATGACCAAGCTCGAGGAAAGGACCAGAATAAAGTGCGACCAGTACTGGCCGAGCAGAGGATCGGAGACATACGGTTTAATGACAGTGACCATCACCGACGTCCAAGAACTAGCCACCTATTGCATCCGATCGTTCCAAGTGTCTCGAGCCGGATACTCCGACAGACGCGAGATCAAGCAGCTCCAGTTCACTGCCTGGCCCGATCATGGCGTACCCGAGCACCCGGCACCGTTCCTGCAATTCCTCCGTCGCGTGAAATCCTTGAATCCCTCCGACAGCGGCCCCCTGATCGTCCACTGCAGTGCCGGCGTCGGTAGAACCGGTTGCTTCATCGTGATCGACTCGATGCTGGAGAGGATCAAACACGAGAAGATGATCGATATCTACGGCCACGTGACCTGTCTACGCGCACAGAGGAACTACATGGTGCAGACCGAGGATCAGTACATATTCATACACGACGCTCTCTACGAGGCAGTCATCTGCGGCAACACCGAAGTGCCTGCCAGGAACCTCCACTCTCACATCCAAAAGCTCATGCAGCCGGAGATCGATAACATAACCGGCATGGAACTGGAGTTCAAGAAACTTTCCAACATCAAGGTGGACTCGTCGCGGTTCATATCGGCGAACCTGCCGTGCAACAAACACAAGAACAGGCTGGTGCACATACTGCCCTACGAGTGCACCAGAGTCTGCCTGCAACCTCAGCGCAACATCGAGGGATCCGACTACATAAACGCCAGCTTGATCGACGGATACCGCTACCGAGGTGCTTACATAGCGACCCAAGGCCCGCTCTGCGATACCACGGACGACTTCTGGCGGATGCTGTGGGAGCACAACTCCACGATCGTGGTGATGCTGACGAAACTGAAGGAGATGGGCAGGGAGAAGTGCCATCAGTACTGGCCGTCCGACAGATCGATCCGTTATCAGTGCTTCGTCGTCGATCCCATCGCGGAGTACAACATGCCGCAGTACATCCTGCGAGAGTTCAAAGTGACGGACGCTCGCGACGGAGCCAGTCGCACTGTTAGGCAGTTCCAGTTTATTGATTGGCCGGAGCAAGGCGTGCCGAAGTCCGGCGACGGGTTCATCGACTTCATCGGGCAGGTGCACAAAACTAAGGAGCAGTTCGGACAAGACGGGCCCATCACGGTGCACTGCAGCGCTGGCGTAGGTCGGACGGGTGTCTTCATCACCCTCAGCATCGTGCTGGAGCGCATGCAGTACGAAGGAGTCGTCGACATCTTCCAGACGGTCAGAATATTGCGGACGCAACGCCCTGCGATGGTCCAGACCGAGGTTTGTGACAGCGTTTACGCTTGCTGGGTGCAGATTCTTGATGGGATCAGAGATTGACGTGTTTAAATCCGTTTAGACGTTTAATCGTTAGTTCTAGGTGTATTTCTGGGGATGTCAATCTCCTTTCGAGGAGACTGCGAGACGTAGAGTTGAGAATAATTCTGGGGTTTAATTATTCAGTTTTCTAGCTGTTTGGGAGACGTGTGAATCTTTTGAATAACTTGAGGAGTGAAAATAGAAGTAGGGGGTTAATGGTATCTTTTTGAGGTTTGATATTGTTCGTTTGTTTTCTAGGACCAGTATCAGTTCTGCTATCGTGCCAGTTTGGAATACTTAGGTTCGTTCGATCACTACGCCAACTGACAAGCCGATACACGCGAGGAGAGGGAATCGACGAGAGACCGCAGGGATCGACAGAGGAACGAGAGAGAGATGGGTGAAAGGGCGAAAATACGACGCGTCTAGTACAATGAAGTACTCGAGAAGTATGTAAAGCGAGGCCGGGAGTGTGTAGTCTATACAAATGATTCCGGGGCATAACGTACCATACTCCTACCTTCCAAGGACAAATACAAGTAGAAAGGCGATAACTTACTATCTTCTTGGGCAACTAACGTAGCAGCAAAGTATCTTAGTCAATGGTGTTGCAGAAGTCTCGGGCATGCGGAGGACGTATATATATTTTTTTTTTTCATTTTCTCTCACGGCACAGTCGTGTGCCGGACACGATTTTGTCCAGAGCTCCCGATCGAATTAGCCGGGACAAGACTGCCGTTTAGAATGTACGGCTCGTAAACGTAGAAACAATCATATCCTTAGAAATATTCTTTCCTGGAGTTTCCTTTTTACCGGTTGCGAAGCAAAAATTCCACGGAGATGCGAACAGAAAACCAGATGAAAAAAAAGAGAGAGAGTGAAGACAGAGCAAGCGCGTTTTCGAACGTGAAGATCGATCGTGATTCAACGAGGATCAATGGAAAGAGGCAAAACGAAAACGAATAATCGTAATCGAAGAGTTCGATCGTTGAAACATATCCGACTCGCCGTTGCACGAGCCAACTTGCGATTACTCGGCTTTTTCCGAGTCGCTCGAAAACTATGGTTGCTCAGCGGAGCTAAAGTCTGACGAGGATCGTCGCCGCGATCGTCTGCCACGCAATCGAACCGTTTTAACACGCGCGACACTTCGTGACAATTTACGAAAAGAAACACATCAAAAAGTTCAAACTTTCCTATACACCCCCTACGTTGGAATAAAAAGTGCTTCCATTTTTGTGGGAAAAGAAAAAGAGAGAGAAAAGCGCGCGCGGTCGACAGCCGCGCTTCGTCGGGAATCAACGGGAAGAGAAATCGAGGGCAGACAGCCGCGTGGCACGTTCGTGTAAAAGTACTTATCGACGCGACAAAAGGCTATTCAGGATCGAGAATATTGCAGGTATCTCCGTAACGAGTATCGAAGAAAACCAGAAAGAGAACGTAAATTTCCGCTCACTGACAAGAAAATTACCGTACTGCCAAATCGACAATTATTCATGCTGAGCCCATTACGCACGATAGGGATCTTCTCATTACCTACTGTAATTTTAAGTAGATCGTAAGCGATTGTTTTAAGATTAGGGTTATAAGCGATGCCATTAGAAGATGAGGAATAAAAAGGAACTCGGTTTGAATGATGGAAGAGTGAAAGGAAACGGTGCCTATATTCAATTAAAATTGCACAAAAGGTGTTGTGCAAGTTTCTATGAAAACTAATTTAACTAGAAGCACTGTATGTCGGATTTGCGTACTGTTCCCCCGAGCCCTCGACACCCCTCGTGTACAAAGTTCCACCGTAGGCTTCTACCTCGACGACTTTTACGATTTTACCTGGACTGATGTTCAAACTGAGACCGGCTCGCCCCTGAAACTTCGATCATTCCTGGCTCGATTCACGCCGCAACCACTTCGTTTACTTTTTCGTGCTGGATATTAAACTTGTTTGCGATACAATTCTACAATTCCGGAGCGTAGTTTCACAATCGGAGAAACCCGTGAAGCCCTTAGAATCAACGAATCTCGCTAACTAAATGCACCAAGATCATTCCATCATCAGGCACAAAACCCGGACGCGCCAAATCAATGCCAAAAACGTGTATCGAGGAACACGCGACCGATCCCAACGCGCCATCGCATCCTTTTTGATAAACGATAGAAACTTTCGACGTGTATTGATTGTACAATTGTAATTCGAAGAGTTACAGAACGGTTCGTAGTCTATGAAGACAATAAAGTATGCGCTCGTTTGTATATCTCCTGTATTTCGAGGATCTTCAACGGATTGTTCGGTATAGAGGCGTTCTATCCGCGTTTGATAGGACAGGAACGCGAAATTCTATTTACTAAAGTATGTAAGTATATATACAATTACGAGTACACCCCCCGCCCAACCCCCCGATAAGAGGGGGAACGGATCTTTTTTCAGTTTTTGGCATTCGTTTGGCTCCGATCGTTCGATCGTACAATAAGACGTCGCTCGTCCAGCAACGAGAGAAAGTCAGTATTACTTTTTCTAGATTCGATTTCGAGCCGTTGAATCGAGCGTTTAACATTTTTTCGTTTGATAGTGGTTCGAGGG